CCAGCCTGTGTGTGCAATGATAAATTAATGAAATAAATGTTTATTACTTTTATTCCATTTGTGCGGTTCCTCTTCCTCTTCCACCGCCACCGCCACCAACTCCATCTCTTCTCTATCGGCACTTGACCCCTACTGAAAGAACCAAATGAATATGCCTCAGAAATTTCAATAAAAATTTTATGTTATAATTATAGGCCAAAGACAGACGAAGTCGAGGGATGCATAATAAAAATTAACGCCCCCCAACTTCTCTTTGGAAGAAATTCCCGTGTTTGTGTTTGGGTCATAATTTTTCTATTAGACAAATATGTATGAGCAAGGGAGAGAGGGCATGTTCGTCATGTGAGAGTGTAATAAATTTTATTAAAAACATATACAAACAAACGCATAAACGAGATCCAAGACCAAGTCAAGGTGGAAGCCCAAAAGCAGGAGGGGAGTGAGTTGGCCACACATTTGGGCCATCATACGTGACCGGCGATGGAATTTCGGGGCGCGCCCTCTCTCTCTCTCTCTCTCTCTCTCCTTTCCTTTCCTCTCCCCCTCTCGCTCAGACTATCGCCCCATCTCTTTCGGTGTCCAGCTGAGACAACACATAAAAACGAAAATAAACAAAGACGATGGAGGTAAGACATCGTTTAAGGAGTTGGCATGCAATCAAAGCTCACGATCTGGGGACTCTGAAAATTTTCCAAAAATAGTTGGCTCTATGCCATATAAAAGGAATGAAAATTCAAGCTCGAAACTAATTAGCTCTTGTTCAGTTATACCATATAAGACTTACAAAAATATATATTAACAGACATTTTGCATGTTTTGAACATAAATCAAAAGAAAAAAATATTTATTAGGGATTGGTGATTAACTTCTTACATTAAATTATTCGTTCTTAGTGCTCGTATAAGAGGCTGGTCACTTTTTTATTTGCATAAAATAAAATAAAACATACTTTAGTAGTTTGAAAGCTCTGTATACTTGAAGAAAGTTTCAACGATACAAATATTAAAGCCAACTGCCTTCTTCGAATGCTGCTTAACTCCCCAAAGAGTTTCCTGTCCCCGAGCGGCGAGCAAGAAGGAAAATCCACACGAGAGAAAAACAACGAACACAGTTAAATGTGGCCAAATTAATGGACTTCGAATGAAGTTGACCGGCTGTCATAAAGCGTTCATAATTACTTTTCACACCAGGCGGTGGCGAGCCGAACGCGTGACTAACGAGTTTCGAGGAGGACGGAATCGGGGGGCAGAAAAAAGGGGGGGCTGAGGCGACCAAACAAGCCCAAAACAAACAGTCGGTGAAGAACAGAAAAAAAATAATAATAAAAAAAAGGAAAATATTACAAATAAACAATCATAAATTTCTATAAATTCTAATTGAAAGAGTTGCCTGCGGCGGGGCGGGGTGTCTGTTTATAGGCTTAGAGCGTATTGCGCACGACATTTGTTTATTTATGGCGAATGACAATAAAATTTAATAACTTTGACACAATTTAATTAATTTCGATTTTTCAATATGACAAAATAAAAAGGAAACGACATAAAAAAGCACCAAGCGAACCGGCAAACAAACAAAATGTGGAAAGCCAAACAAAAATCAACACAACATAAAATTTGTATACGTCAGTACAAAAGGGGCGGGGCAGCGGTCGAGTCATAAGCAAACATATTTATGGAATTTATTTTTTCCCTGTCGTTTTTTGTATTTTTTTGTGTCTTGATACTCCTCTGCCATATGAAAAGGAAAATTGAATTAAAATCCAACGAGGGCAATTTACAAAATTAGTTTTACAAAAAAAAAAAACGTAAGTAAAAAACATACAAGGACATTGGAGTTTTTTATTAACCAATACTATATACCAATACATCGAATGGAAATTCCATCGGAATCCAAATCAAATCGACTAAATTAAGAGCTTTGAGAAATCCAAATCAAAAACGAAATTGATTTGTCGTGTTCAAGTTGCGAGTCAATTGCATTTTTTGCTGAGTGCTGGGCTTAATAGGAAACAAATAAAAGTAATCGAGCTTTTGGCTTTGCAGTTTAAATAACTAATAACTAAAAAGAAGTGGATGTGGCATTTAGTTGGGAGAATGTATCCCTTCAGGGTTTGAAATTGTTATTTGATTATATTTATGTTTTGTTTGAGTGCGGTTACATTAAAATGGTTCATCAAACAGCGTGTGACTTTCAATCATTAATCAATATTTACTACCTTCAATTTAATGAGTTCCTGTATGTTGTTGCTTAAATATTATTAATCTTGTGTTAATTATCGTTTCAAATTGGTTTTGATTAATTATATTTTGATGGGCACAATTATACAATTTTATTATTTACTCATTATAAGGCTAAATAAATATAAAACTCATCCAAATGTCCTGAAATGTAATTTATAAATGCAAACTCTCAAATACCCAGCCAACAGGCTTTGTAAAGTTAACAAACTATGTAACGTCCCACTAGTAACTCCCCAGCTCCACCTGAACCACTCAAATTGACAGAGTCTTTATGGGCATACACACGGATGTGTGCGCATGCTGGCCTCCAAAAAACCGCAATTGAAATTCAAAATATTGTCCACATATAAATATTTAACAGACGAAAAAAATCAAAGTGCAATGATTGAAAAATGAAAAAGCATAAGGTATAAAAATTAATTTTGAATGCTGCCTGTATTCCGCCCATCTCTCTCTTTTTCTCCATAGCTTTTTAAATTGTGACAACATAAAATAATTGTTAAAGTCCACAAATAACAATAAACAAGCGGACAGAGCAAAAAGCAATTTGCAATGCACCAAAAACCAAAAACCAAAGGCCGAGGCCCAACTCCATGGGGAAAGTCGCTGTGTGTGTGAGGTAAATTTATTGATTTCCATATATTTATTTGTGTAAAATGCCATAAATTACAATTATTTAACAGGGCCGGACGGATGAGACCGGCGGACGGGCCGTAAAGTCAACGCGCCAGCAACGGACACTCACTGTTCCACCCCTTCCCTCCCTGGAAATGCCACGCCCCCTTTCCCCTTTGGGTCAGTAGTGCCGCTTTGTTGTTGTTGTTGCTACTACTCCTGCTGCTGCTGTTGCTGCTGCATAATTTGTTAGCCAAATTGCAACTCAACAGGCCAGGTACGTTGCACTGCCGACTCTGTGATATCGAAAGACCCCGAGACCCGGACAAACAAGCCGACACACACACGGCCCGGCTCATCAAATATGCAAAATTTTGCAAGTCCTTGCAACAATCGCAATTAAGGATGAGCTGCCGGCGAGGCGACTATAAGGCAGCAAGTCACAGACAATGAAAACGGTGACTCCCAGTGAGTGTCACTCATTGCCCATTTATAGTTGCTGTTGATGGAAACGGTACGAAAGTCATTGATATTTCTTCGTATTCATTCCGTAATAATTACGAACATGGTTGTTAAATAATTTAATAAGGGTTGTTTAGTAATCGAAGGTAATAAATGTAGTGATTATTTTTGAATTAATTATGGAAAACTTGCGGTAGCATTTGTATGTTTCTCCAATTTCCTATCCCTTTTCATTCTTTAATAATTATGAAAATTGTACTAAAATTTATGAACTGAAATTGATTGATAAAATAAGCTCCAAAGTTGATTAATTTCAATTTTAATAAATTTCCTTTTGGTAATTCAAAGTAATGAAAGTACTGTTTTTTTCTAGTATAAAAATATTTTATATCTAATGAGAGAAAGTTGACCCTTTGTTAACATATGATATGTCTTACTGAGCCCGAAATGATATATTCTTTTGTATTATTGATCTTATATAATCTCTATAATGTTCTAATAACTCTCATATGTCAAATAAATAATTAATATGGAAATAAATTAAATCTACTTGAGAAAACTTTAGGAGAATACAACAGTCTTAAGAGTCCAACTCAAGGTTTGTCTACATCCATCTTATCTTTGTCTGGCTGGAAAATGAAGCCTTTCGAAAATCACTAAATTAACACGGAATTCACTCGGACATCTCCAATCGACTGAGGAGCCATAAAGGGTCCTTCGCCTGCTGCCGTATACCGAATTCCACTGGGACTCCTCCTCCACCTCCTCCCCATCCTCGTCCATTTGGGCCTCATTCAGTTTGGTTGTACTGATCAATCGCTTGGCCAATTGTTGGCTTTCACTATGCGTATATCGTTGCCCCTGGATTTGTGTGTATGTGTTTGGACTATTATGTCCGGAGCTTATTAACTGCGGGTCTCGCAAATGCAATGCAAATAAGCAAATTTGCAATCAAAAGAACGATTTTCATATTTAAGATGGCACAAATGCAAACCGGAGGGGGATAATTTCGGACCAAATTCAGGGGGGGTAGGGGGATTTAATGTCGGTTATGAAATGGGGCGTGGCTGGAACACTGGCATGCACTTAATTTGGCAATTGTCTCTGCACAAATACACAAGATACGAGTGTATTGCCTGCATGTATTTATGTCTGTTTGTCTGTCTCCGTTTATCTACAGTTCCACCCACTTCCACCACCTCTCCACCACCCCCTTTTGCACCCACACAACCACTGTGGGTGTGTATGTGTGTGCGACTGCCTTTGTCATTAATATTAATTTCGTGTTTAATTTATTGTAATTTACGTGCATTTGATAAATCGTGTTATTATAATCAGTTGACTGGAAACGTGAAGAAAGGACAGGAGAATATGGGTGCTACACTGCATGGCCCTAAAATTGTTCAAATTGTGTATTTTGTGTATCAAATATTTTTATACTCTTAAGGAATTTAAATGAATTCTTGGTTTTGCTTAATTTTTCTTTATACTTATAGCTTTAGTAACCTTCTTAACATATATACATATATTGAAAGATAACATTATTGAATGGCTTAAAGATAAACAGAACCATTTCGGTAGCAATTAGCTCTGTGTAGGAAAATAAATGGAAAGGGCAGGAGTCTTACTAGAGCATAGGTGTGCCAATGACAGCCAGACAGCTTTAATCTTGGGCGGACTTACCTTTATGCCAAGTCCACTTGTAGCGATAATTGCGCGAGTTCCCTTAACAAGTCGAATACCTTGAGGGACCTTTGAAAACTGCAATGAGAACGAAGAAGAAAAAATGGGTTAATTCCAGTAATTATGCATGTCAATCGATATGTGGTGTTACGGTATGAGAAAGAACTGGGGTCTAATAAAAATCGGTTATGAAACTGTTTGGTGTGAGTTCCTATTGATGTTGAAAATCCTTGAATCCCTTAGCCATCTAAGGAATCAGCATTTGATACCAGCCAACTAATATTTATGAGAATCGCATAGAAAGGACCAAAAAGCACTTGAGTGGGATTCGGATTTGGAGGTGTGGAGAGGGTAATGCGGAGGGTAATGTCTCGGGGTAATAAACATTTTCCCACTCGTGTACGAGGAATGCTCGAGGACAAGTGTCGCATAAAGGAATTCCCGACCTTTTTTTTTCCTTTTTTGTGGAATGCATTTTTATAACAAAATAATTATATTTATGCCACGGGTGCGAGAGCAGAATGTGCATTGGCCATTGCACAGAACGCATTCAAGTCGAAGTAATGCAAAAAGGCGAATCGCAAACCCGATTCCGATCCCCACCAATCCCCTTGAAAGTCCGCCCCCAATCCCGATTCTGCCATTTCTGCACATAACGGCATCCATTACACGCAACAACAAAGCCAAAATGGCGTCTGGTGCGACAATGTGTTGCATGCGTGTGTGCGTCGCTTTGTGTCTGTATTGTCGTTGAAATTATTTTTATTATTTTACACAATTTTTATATGGAAAGCCAAATGCGATACACACATAGAGAAGGAGAGACAGAGACAGAGAGAGATGAGAGCAAGGCGAAAAAATGAACTTTTACAGCCGGGCATAAATATTTAGTATATTGTTCTTGTTGCTGCATGTTTATATTGTTGTATTTAATGAGATTTTTGAACTTTTCCTTCCCATAAGCGCCTTAAGCGTTTACTCTCGCTCTGTAAAAACACTTTACAGAAGCCACAAAATGGAAAGCAAAACAAGAAGCATTCAAGAAGTTTTTCTTTTTGATGTCCTCAACTTGGGGGAAGTGTGAAAAAATAAGACTGGGGTTGAAAAATTTCCTGTAAGTGTAGGATATTAAAACGTTTATTTGAAAAGCAATAAATATTTGTATTTGAGACGTGAATAAACGACATATTTGTAAAGATGCAGCACTTGAGAGGATTTCACAATCGCTTCTCTATTCCTTTATTAATTTGAATACCATAAACCCAAAGACCTTCTACATTCCGCTCCATATATCTTAATCTCCATCGCTTCACCTTTTAATATCTTAATTCCAACCGCGATATCCCACTATCTCGACATCTAAATGACTTCAAATTGCATTATTACCATCGATAAATTCCAAATCGAATTCCCATAATCATGAAATCAATTTATTGTCATCACATTTAAGCCCATTAGTTGAAGGCCCGATAAGATCTCCGATCGTAATCTCAAATGCATTTGTCATTCCCCAAAATCGAATCAGAGCAGATCGAAGACCAGTTTTCGGATCGGTCTTCGGTTTTCTCATCTTGTGTGGGTTGTGCAACCCACAAGCCGGATCGCATAAAATAATAATAATAAAGGAAAACCGGTGGCAGAGCATCCAACTCCAACGCATTCATTAGTTCTCATTAGGGGACAAAACATTTCGAGTCCAAACTCGCATCTGAACGATAAACAAAACATTTTCAAATCGGTTAGGGGACGAGTGGGGACTTTACCGGTTTATTGGCGTCTCTAATGAACCTCTATTAATAAATATAAATGGAAAAGTTGACATTAAAAAAAGGCTCCAAAGATATGCCTATCACATTGGTTTAACAAATATTGAAGTTGGGTGGTCGTAGAAATCGAGTAATAAATATTGAATCGAGTGGGTATTTATTGTATACAAGGGGTAAGCTTCAGAAACATGTATACATTTATTATGAATATAGAGATTAATATTCATGAAGTTATTTCTGTTTCGATGTCATAAGGACCAAGAAAATAAACAACAGCAAATCTTCATTTTCACATTATTAACTTACAAGTAATTTATACCAAGTAATGTATACCATTTCAGTTATCGATTTTCTTTCCACCGTACAAATACACCCCCGAAATTAGTTATAAAGTCAACCCAGTCAATTAAAGACCTAGAAATGCATAATTTTCCATTTAGCCCATTTATGAATTATGCAGTCGAGGCGAAGAAAACTGGTTGACGGAAAATACCTCGAAATGGGGTGGGATGTGGAAATGACATAAGCGTTTAAACATTTCAAAGGAGCGACTCCATAAAAACAAAACGAAGCTAAATTTAAGACAAATGCAGGCCCGAGGCAATGTGGAGTTGGGGGAAAAAGGGGGAGAGGGGGGATATGGGGGCACAAAGCAAACATGTGACATATGCGGCAATTAATGCCGTTAATTATTAAAGTTAACACCCAAAAGCGACATGCACAAGTCAAATAAATAAACACGCAGCAGGGAACGAAGTCAATGGCTCTTGGCCAAAGCAAAAGCCCTCGTCTATATACCACCACCTATATATATATATATATATATATATATATATATATATATTTGTATATACGACCGAGCCCCCTGAAAAACCCATAAAATGTCTGCCCCCTGCACAAACGCCCCAACAATTAAGGACAATGCGTACTAATTTCAAACGAAAACTTCAACGTGGCCAACTGAAAGCGAAGCGAAAAAGGAAACACAAAAAACAAGAAAGGAAAGCTAACTTCGGGCGGAGCCGAAGTTGATATACCCTTGCAGAATACTCTGTAAATTATATTCTCCAAAATTATTCATATGATGCATTCTTAATACTCATAAAAAATCACAACTTTCTTACTTTAAAAAAACCAAAGTTATGGCATTTCCAATCGTTCAGTTATATGGCAGCTATAGGATATAGTCGGCCGATCCTTATGAAATTTGGTAGGTCGGATTGATTGGCCAAAAATAAAATCCATAGAAAATCCCAACTTCCTAACTTTACAAACACCAAAGTTATGGCATTTCCGATCAATCAGTTATATGGCAGCTATAGGATATAGTCGGCCGATCCTTATGAAATTTGGTAGGTCGGATTGATTGGCCAAAAATAAAATCCATAGAAAATCCCAATTTTCTAACTTTACAAACACCAAAGTTATGGCATTTCCGATCAATCAGTTATATGGCAGCTATAGGATATAGTCGTCCGATCCTTATGAAATTTGGTAGGTCGAATTGATTGGCCAAATATAAAACCCATAGAAAATCCCAACTTTCTAACTTTACAAACACGAAAGTTATGGCATTTCCGATCAATCAGTTATATGGCAGCTATAGGATATAGTCGGCCGATCCGGGCCGTTCCGACTTATATACTGCGTGCAAAGGAAAGAAGGGTGTGTGCAAAGTTTCAATCCGATAGCTTTAAAACTGAGAGACTAGTTTGCGTAGAAACAGACAGACGGACAGACAGACGGACAGACGGACAGACGGACAGACGGACATGGCTATATCAACTCAGGAGGTGATCCTGATCAAGAATATATATACTTTATAGGGTCGGAGATGTCTCCTTCACTGCGTTGCACACTTTTGACCAAAATTATAATACCCTCTGCAAGGGTATAAAAAGCATCAAGAAATTTAATCACAAATTCTGAAATAAGCACCGAATTTGTTGATATCCTGTCATTGAGTTCGATTTTTAAGCATAAAAGGACTACAACAAATATTTTAACTCATTTTATGTCAACCATTTTTATCGTACACTCACCACATTTTTAATTGTTTTGGCATCTCGGATTTAGTGGATTATAAAAACCTGACATACTTCTGTAAACTTCCCTACATTGTCTGCCTTTAACGACAATAATGTGATATATTTTCCAGTAGACTAAGGATTAACCTTTCTCCCAAAAGTCTCGGGTGTTGTCGAGTAATAATGATTTTTATTTATAAACTGGCCCAAAGGAGCGACACAGGAAGTGCGGAATATGGGGCAGGGGGGGGGGCTTAACCCATGCGTGCCGCAAGTAGAAGAAGAAGAAGGAGAAGCTTGTTGGGGAAGGACAGTTGGCACATAAATAATTTACACACCCCCGGCCCTCTATTCGCCGTCCTGCTGACATAATTTTTTTCCTCTTTCAACCACAAAAAAAAAAAAAAAATAGAAACAAAACGGGGGACTCACAATTAGAGGCATGTTTTTGGGGATTGGGGGTGGATTTTTTAGTGGATTTGGGGGTGGCGACCGGACAAGGGCAGTGCAATGCATAAGCAAACAAAACTTTGGCAATTTTGTGCAACTTTTTGGCTTCCACATTTTGTATAGAAAGCATTTTTTCCTCCCTTTGTGTTTGTTTGTGTGTGCCGAGGAAATTATGTTTTTGAAAACAGGAAAACCTTGGCAAGTTTTTGGGGGCAACAGCGGCCGAGGAAGAGGTAATTCCATTTTGAAATAAGCTTTGCTTAGGTCAAATCGAGTTTGACTGTTTAGAGGCTTGAAAATAAAGTTGATAGAGTTAACAATTCACAAGCAATTCAAACTCAATTTAGACTTATTTTAGAGGAATCTCAAGCAGTAGGCATAATTAAAATGTCCTTGCAGTAATAAATACATTGAATGGAAATTTAAAAACAAAACTGTTTCTGCGTTCGTTTTAAACAACGTTTATTTTATTCCCAAACCTCTGCGGGCATTTTCCCAAAATTCACATGATTAAACACCACCACCACAAGATTTTCCCACCCACTGGGGTCTCCCAATTAAAGGAACGTTTTTCTTCATTTTTTTTGCACCGTTTCACATTATTTTTTTGGTTAGAAACGTTTGCCACTTAACGGGCGCATAAAACGCCAATAAGGAACGCGGTTTTTTTGGGGAAATGGGTAAAAATGAGGGGACAATGACGATGAGCATATGATTTTCAATTTTTGCCACAAATCCAGACAAACACACACCGAGAGACTTAACTGAGTGCTTCGCCATGTTTTCGACCAAAGTTCCAATAGGATACACAGAACAAATTTAAACATTATAAATT